CACACACACACACACACACACACACACACACACACACACACACACACACACACATAATTGTGTCACCATTACCACCATTGACGTGGCGACGCGTTTGCGACGTGTTCGCGCGAATGAAAGGAGCGTGACGTATTTCTCGCCTTTCGACGACACGGCCAGCGTCTCGTCGTCGTGACGACAAAGAAGGAGGCAGATGAAGAAAGATACGCTTCTCCGTCTCGTCGACGTCGCCGTCAGCCTGCGAGACGGCCGTGATTAACCGTATCTCTTTTCCCGTCTCTATTATATCCAGTGATACAACGCAGAGGAAAAAGAAGACTAACAATCGGTGAGTCATAGTTCGGACCGTCGTCGTTGGGAAAGCGACTTGTATTCCGCTTTTCCAACGACGAGCCGCACGTATTGTGCTCACCGACTCGGGGGAAGTGTTCACGTCGCCTTCTTCTTCGTCGTCGTCGTCGTCGTCGTCGTGGTTATTACGAAATTATCCTCGCTGCGTCAGCTTTAATTTTACATAGTCGTTAAATCGCTTCGGTGAATTATACGAACCACATGTTTCTCGATAACCCGAAGTCCGTGCTCGAGGAGGAACGTCGTCACCGCGTCACGCTCCGAACCTTGAGTCACCGCGGCGCATCGTCGCATCAATGACCCTTTCTTCGTATGCACCCTAGCTGAGTTTTCTTTCCCCTCGGTCACGCGTGAGAGAGAAGGAATCGCAAAGGCGTAAAGCCTGTATCACACTAACGATTGGCGACCGTTTCTGCGTTTGCGTCTACGATTGTCTCTTGACCAATCCAGCAGCTCCTTTCTGATTTGTCAAGAGACAGTTCTAGACGCGAACGCAGACGCAGTTGCCAGTTGCTAGTGTAACACGAGCTTAAGAAACGGAGCTCGAGAGCCGGCTTTTCGCCGAGTGCTTTCCCTTTCTTTGGAAAAATTGTTTTCTGTGAATATATGAGGAATGAAAGGATGAGAGAGAGAGAGAGAGAGAGAGAGAGAGAGAGAGAGAGAGAGAGAAAAGAAGAGAGAGAGCGTGGGTGGGATGTATGTGAGAGTGGGTATGTGTGCGCAACCGCAAGTACGAACATGTAAAAGATGACAGACTGTCGGCGAAGTGAAATTGTCGATGCGGCAGTGGTTAGTATCGAAACAAAGAAATGAGAACAACGGCGTGAAAGAGAAGGACAGCGAGTGTGTGAGAGTGATTTGTGAGTGTGTGAGAGATAGATAGAGAGAGAATCAGAAGGAAAGATATTAGGAGAGCGTGCGAAGGTGAGACCCGACAGGGATGCTTAGTTCGGGCGAAACGGGCCGCGGGTCCCGTGGTAATATACTTGTGATGACGAATTACTTATACGAATACCGATTAGCGAAGTAGTGATTTTGTTTAGCATATCCGGGTTACGATATATATATATGTGTATATATATATATATACACACATATATATACATATATATATATATATATATATATATAGGGAGGCAGGGTGAGAGACGATAGTTAACCGCGCGCGACCCAAGGTCAGCGAGCTCCGATTTCGGCAGCCCTGTTGAGGGTGGCCAGTAGTAGCGCACTGTCAGGAGAACGAAGGGAGAGACAGCGAGAAAAACAGCAAAAGGAAAATCCGAAATCCACTCGTTCCTGCGCGTTGACTGCGAGCGAGACGCCACTCGATAAATTCTGTATAAAAAAAATTCGCTTTACAAAAGTCTACACATGTACACACTTGATACAAAACAACAACACCATTACACATTTGTACACATGTCCGAAACATACATATACAAGAACACACACACACACACGCGCGATACACCGTACCATACAGTTACACATACTCGAATCTGTAGACTCTCGTAGGTTACTATTAATTGTAATGAATTATATCTTATATATATATATATATATATACATATATATATATTAATGTATAATTATATTTAGTTCTTAGGTTATAATGGCTATCATTTCCCGCTTGTACATATGCCGTGAGCTCGAAAAAATTAAATCTTTAACAAAGAATATCTATAATTTTTTCGACTGTTTTTGTACAGAGATAAAATAAAAACAAAAGGCCTCGTGCTTATGAAATTTCATGAATATAAAAAAAAACACGTGTGTCGATTACTTCGCGCATCCTGATCACCTTGACCGATCGATCAATCGAGCGTGCGTGCGTGCGTGCGTGCGTGCATGCATATGTATCGTTCCGTTATCGTTTTTCGTTATTTTCGATAACGTTGCAAATATTTACGCAAGTTCAGACGAAACGGCGTAAATAGCAATAAACGTCACGCAAATGTCTCAACATTTGAAGTCGGGCGCGAACACTACGTGTGTTAAACGTTTCGAATTGGACGATTTGCGCAGCGGTGCGAATGGTCAATAAGCTTCAATACAATGCGAATAATAATTAGTAATGAAGTAACGCGGCGGCGCGTCGATTATTGCAAAGTGTCGCGGCGTCCGCGCGCAAGGCCGCGCCGATGGTTTTGCGCGGAGTATTTTATTAGCGACGATGCGTCACGCCCGTGTTTATCGAGTAAATATCGAAAAAAAGATGACCAAATTTTGCGGCTGTAGCGCGCGGATTTGTTCAACACACAGCGGAGACCGGGCGGTTATCGATTATTTATCCGTTATTCATTCTGGCGATCCACGTCTCTCGCGATTGCACGCGCGTTGTCGCGGAAACGCTGTTTTTCTCTTTGTTTTTTTTTCTCTCTCTCTCTCTTCTGCACGTATATGTGTATATCGCCGGAACACGGACGTACGCGAGAAATCGAGAAATCCTACACCGTCGCGCGAACACGTTCCACCCAGGATCTCCGACGTAATTATTCTCGGAAACGCCCTCGATCGAGATAATTCGAGGATACACGTGTCTTAAGAGCGCGAATCAACATTGTGCCGCGTTATTCCTCGCAAACGTGCAATTTCGTCGACGAGATAGCGTTACCGAATGTTCCGCGAACGAGCCGATAAGAGGACTCGCGAGATCGCCGCTTGTCATTCAGCGTGAAAGAAAGAATAGCTGTGACGTAACGGCCTGGGAGATATGCGTAAAATGTGTCTCGCGCGGCGCACTCTCAGATAATTCTTCGATAATTCGTGCGAGAATTCGCCCGTCGACGGAGAATAAAGCGAGACGGGAGCGCGAAATTGCACGATCACGCGTCCGACATTCTATTGACTTGAGTGGTACCATTGTTTTCGCATTTCCCCGATGTTCCCCTGACGAATTAAGGGTTAATTACGGTGCTGGCGTGGCGAGACTCTGCTTGTTGTGCCAACAACGTCGTCCATCGCACGCATACCGCGACGAGAGACTGCTCTCGCCTTGGCTCGAGCAAAATGAGAATTAGCCGCGGGGTTAATTGCCGTTACTCGCCAATAGCGACGATGGTTAATCGTCGGTGGTTGATATAATGCAGTACAGTGGACTGCTTCTGTGACGAACGCGAGGATATCGAGGTCTGTGTCGGTGACGCGACAGGTCGTCCGCAGGACAAAAGGAGTCGAGTGGCAAAGCGAGTAAATTCGATACGCGATTCTTGCGCGCGTTCCTTCGCGCTGAAAGTTCGCGGTAGAAGGTTCAGGATGAATCACGAGGATAGTAAAGTGGAACGATGGTTTATACGCGTCAACTGTCAGCCTTATCACTGACGCGCGACTACGTTGTGATGTAATAGCTGACGATTTCGTCGTGCCGATTTGCATACGACGATTTGCAGTCGTCGTCGCGTCGCGCCTGTTGCAAAGTCTCACACGGAAGAGACAACCACGGTTGAATTAACGTGACGTGTTTGGTTAAACAGGATTTGGTTGAACCAAGCGCAGAGAATGTCTGGTTGTCATAATGAAATATTCTGGTAGTCAAGCACAGACAACATTCAGGTCTAACAACGGTCAGAGTTTGGTTTACTGCTGATCCAGTTATAACATCCTGCTCATTGTGATTACAAAGCGTGGTTGGACGAACGTGACATGTTTGGTCAACGACTGTAGGTTGAACTAAACGGAATTTTTGGTTATTATAATCATATATTCTAGTATTCAATGCTTTCTGGTTACACTATAAATAGACGAAACACAACAGGTATATTGATTAGTGAGAAGTGGTATAGCGCGTAGGCAAACGACTCCACAAGCCCCCCAAAAGTCTTCCCCGGGTTCCCCACCACGATACATAAAGCGAGTTTTTCAGATAAAAAATATATAAACTTTAAACTAACGCAGAAATATAACTTTATATATAAAATATATATAACATTATTGAATCAAACTTCTATAAAAAAAAAATATATATATAATATCATAAAAAAAAAACTAATATTTTAAGAAACATCTTTCAGTTAAAAAAGTAATAAAATTTATGTTAAGAAATGTTGGATATAATTTTGTTTAGTTTCGTTTTAAGTAATCAAATTTGTCTGGTGTTACTTTAACTAAAAATATAATTCATTTATATTTCACAAAGTCTGGTTAATATATTCTGAATTCTGATTGATTCAACCAATACTTTCAATATATAGCGAGAATATATATATATATATATATATATATATATATATATATATATTGCGTTAAAAGTTTAAATATTTGTAATTAAAAACCGAGAAAAAAAATATTCAGAGTTAGGTATCAATGTTATTAGTGTCTCTAGGCATTGGTGATTTTATATTACATCTTGCTCGCGGCGTGGCAAGAAAG